AAGTCTCGAACAGTCTAAAGTCAGTGGCCATTTTGCCCCAGAGAGAGGAACCTCTGAGTGCTTGTGAAGAGACTGAATGTCTACACAGACTCAAGGTACGTGTTCCTGACCTCACATGTGCACAGAGCTCTCTGCAGAGACAAAGGATTACTTACAACAGGGAACAAAGAGACTAAGTATGTCCAAGATATACTTCAGCTCTTGGAAGCTGTATGGGCCCCCAGGGAGTTTGTAGTTGTCCTCTGTGGGAGGCATCAAGAAGGAAGATCTGAAGAACAGATGGAGAATAATAGAACCTACCAAGAAGCCAAGGCTGCAAGTTTAAGGTCAGATGTTATGCTCCCTCCCTTGATCTCTTGGAAAGAAATTTTGAAAACGGGTGTATTCACCAGAAGAGCTACCATGGGTGGCCAAAGAAGGGTGAACCAAAAAGAAAAATGGATGGTACCGACTACCAGTCCATTATGTAGGGCCCCAACTGGTGCAGGCCACACATTAGACCACCCACTTAGGGAGAAAAAAATTAAAGACACTGCTCAGCTGTTACTTCTTTGTTCCTCAGGTGACAGCCCTGACAAAACAAATTGTTCAATGCTGTGTCATCTGTGCCCAACATAACCCTAAGATAGCACTGGAAATTCCCACAGGGGTCCAAAGAACAGGGACGATGCCTTTTGAGGACATCCAGGTCGACTTCACAGTTACCCAAATGTAGAGGTTTCTATTACCTCTTGGATATGGTTTGTACCTACTCCAATGGGAAAGAAGCTTTCCCTTGTCAGACTGAGAAAGCCCAAGAATTGGTGCAGAGACTGCTCGAGGAAATTGTTCACCTCTATAGGCTTCCTTTGAGCATAAGACCAGATATCCATCCTGATTTTATGGCAGCTGAAGTTCAAGGGGTGGCAAAGACCTTCAGGATTATTGGAATTTACATGTGGCCTTCCAGTCTCAGAGCTCAGGAAAGGTGGTGAAGATAAATAGAACCCTAAAAGCAGGTTAGGAAAACTTTGTCAGGAGGTCAGACTCATTTGGGTCCAAGTCTTCCTCATTGTGCTTCTCTCAAGATGTTGTACTCCCCGCAGGAGAACAGGCTAGTCACCCTATGAGCTTCTGTTAGCCAGGTCATCCCGTCCTGAGTGGACTAACACACTCCATAGGGACATTAGGAGGGCCTGCCTTAGAAAGACAATTGATTGAACTAAAGAAAGTCTCCCAAAAGATAGCCTCTTGGGCCTTAGAAAGGTCCCCCATTAACATTTCTAGCCCACTCCACCCTTTTCTCCAGGAGATTTGGTCTGAATAAAAGACTGGGAGACAGGACAGCCTTAACCCCAAACAAGCAGGTCCCCTGACAGTCATTCTGACCACCCCCCACGGCAGTCCAAATGGAAGGGGTCCCCACATAAATCCATCATAGACAGGTAAAAAAAGACCACAGCTCCAGAGTGGAGCCTCATCATGACACTAAGATCATCCTGACCCAGAGGGGACCTTCATCAGGCCAGAAGATACTGGCTGAGACCTCAAAAATATCATTGAGAGGCAACAGTATCAGCATTGCTCTAGTCACACCGAAGGCTGACTAGTATATCTACAGCAGAAGCCTGAGGACACCATCCAAGGGAGGACACTTTCCTTTAAAACTGCCTGCAATGAACTTTCATCCCTTGTTTTTAATTATACTTGGGTCATTAACCTTGCTTTTTGTATTAGCCCTTGGCCAAATGGGTAAGATGTTTTACTGGTATCAGCTATGTATAATAGGGATCCTTATCTCTTCCATGCCAAGAACAACAAGGACAACAGGACTCATAACTATGATCCCTGCCTATGTGTCACCCACATGGGGAGCTCTATAATGACTGTTTTTACTTTTCTATGCTACTATAATTGTGATAGAGAAATTATCAGGACTTACACTCACAACCTAACTATCTACAAGATTTATAAGCCTAAAGATGGTAGCCCATCCCTCTTCTTTAATCCAAGATAGGGGACCACTTGAGAGTTTAACCTTCTGACAGTATCTAGGTTTTAAAAAATTGTAAAGAGATGATAAATGGCCACCAGAGAAAATAATCTAACACTATGGGTCAGCCACTTGGGCCAAAGATAAAATATGGGGGTATCAGACTCCCATTTACTTGCTAAATAAAATAATTAGGCTACAAGCTGTGCTAAAAATCATAACCAATAAAACTGCTCATGCACTAAATCTCTTAGCTAAACAACAGATAAAGATTCAAAATACAGTATATGAAAATAGATTAACATTAGATTGCCTACTGTCTGAAAAAGAGAGAGTTTATGGAAAATTTAGTTTGACCAATTGTTGCCTACAGATGGACAATCAAGGATAGATGATAGAAAAAGGAAGGGCAGAAATTGCCCATGTACCAGTCCAGACCTACAAAAGATAAAATCCAGAAAAATTGTTCAAAGGATGGTTCTCAACCCTAAGGGGTTTTAAAACCAGGGTAAAAAGATTTATTGGTCTTATGGGGATCTGCTCAATCATCCCATATTTGTTACCTATGACAATTTGAGCCTTAAACTCCATGATAAAAACCACCATAGATCAAAAAAGAGCCTCCAGGGTCTTATGGGCTAAAGGATATCAATCTATAAAAGATTATATAAAAATAGACATTGGTAAGATAAAACATAATGTAAATGGTAAAAACTGATATAAAATTGAGGTTCTTTGATCAGACCCTCAGGGAAGAATAAGAGGAAGCCACCCTCCATATGGAATTGAGCAACGATGAGTTAACTGTGTTATTAGACTACTAAGGGTTAACCAGGTAACTATGCTCTTTGTAGAATGCACCTGAGTAACCATGACAACTTCTGTAATCTGTCACCAAAGGAACATGACAGACTCAGAAGGTCCTGCCGGAACTCTTTTTTCTCCCCCCTGCCCCACTGTTGTGCTTTGTGTAAATTCCTGCTTCCTATATTCCCAGGGAAACTCCAAAAAAAATTTAAGCCTCATAGATGTAAAAAGAGGTTTATAAGAAGAACAAACATCTATTCAGGGCTCTTGAAACCGATAGGATTCACTCATTGAACCACCGGCATTGTTAAGCTGCTTTTTGCTCCTAACTTCATGTTTGAGTGCTGTCTGGGATTCCCCAGCAGTTTCCTGCTGCAAAACTACTGTTAGATGAGAGAGAGACAGAAACAATTTGGGAAGGCTGGTGAGTACCTATAAAGAGGCCTCCAGACAAAGACTGAGATTCTTTGGTTTTAAAATAGAGCAGTTAGTGCTGTACACAAAATCCAGCAAAACAATAACTAGGCAACATTTCTGGAAGAAATTTATTTCTAGGAAAGTAGGCAGTGGTAACATTTTTAGAATGCTTTGTTATACTCCATTGTTTTTCATTGCTACAACTCTTGATAATGTCAAGTATACAAACTTACTCATAGCTTAGTAGTTATGACAGTAACTAGCACTATTAGAGCAGAAGATACATAAAATAGGATCAGAATTTGGTATCTGAGAAAAAAAATTCTGGGAGAATTGTGTGATTACAGATTTCTCCCTGCATGTTCAATGATGCTCGCACTTTCTCTCTGCCTACCTGCAGGTATACATGTTGTAGGCCTACAAAACAAGTATTTGCTGAACTGGTGATGTAAAAAACATAAGAGTACTTCAGTAATATCAACCTCCAGGAGATATCTGCATTTCCCAGAGATGGCTACCACAGGGAGGGCATGGTAACTACTGACAGGAAGGAGACAAAATAGTACTTCATTGCTTGGGGAATCAGATCCTAGATCTGGCAAAATGCAATGAACTCTTAATTCCCATACCCAAGAACACACACACACACACACACACACACACACACACACACCTCTAGATCTTCTGAAGCAGTTCTTCCCCAAGTTGCTTGTCTTAAATGTGAAAATCAGAATTTGAATCCTAACTACTGGCATTAGGCAAATGTAAATCTGACACATTTTACATTATCACACACGAACCAAAATTAACACCTAAATTTAAAAACATCTTTTCTTTTATTTACTTTTTGTAAAGCAAAAAGGTTTTCAATTTGCTTTGGACACATACATGTACATCTTGGTTTTTGAAATCATCATCAAGCAAACAGAAAATGCATCTATGAGTTCAAGCAGATGTTGACAGCCCCAGCCCCCAGCCCCTTTCGTGTACTGAGCTGCCTCACTGGGAAGACAAGCAACGTGGTCGGAATACCATTGCCACCATCCATTGGAGAGCAACTGAAGCCAAGTGCACACATACAAAAAGAAACACTTTTGCAAGCTATTGTCTATCCAAGGTGCAAATTTAGGAGAAATGGAAAAAAAGGCCTCAGATCTCAATTCTTATATTTTCTCCTCCTCTTCCCTTTCCTCCTCCTATAAGCCTGCTAGAAATGTCACCAGGACATTTAAATTATCTGTAAGATGGACACAGTACATATTCTCACAGAGTCTGAGAAGGGAGATCTGTCCTCAGCTTCCTTCTCAGTCTAAGGAAGAAGAGTGATTTCATTATCTATGACTTCAATAAAGAGAATTGAAATCATATGCAAGTAAGCATGGGGTGAACAATCAGCTCATTTGAGCCAGATAAATTATTTAGGACTAGGAATTCTATCCACAGGGGTCTTATACCATTCTGTGTCTTTCTGACATCACAAGTTCAAGCAAGTGCTTTTCTTCCTTTTTAATACTTTCAGCTTTGAGAACACCATGTTTTTTCATGCCCTAGGAAGACATCATATAGAAAAATCCTTGTACTATTTATCTTCCAAGATGATGGTTCCATATCCTAAACAGGGCACTAACATTGATGTAATCCATTGACATTTGCTGTGCTTTCAGATCAATGTAATCCTTTGTGAAGGTAGCATATCTAAAACTATGACTCAGGATGGACAGGTTTCGATGAAAAGCTATACATTTATGAACTGGATGTTTGTTGGGTGAGTAAGGTGAGACAGGCACTGGGAAGCCATTGACTCCTATGTCCTCTGGACTGATCCAAGTTCATCCTGTTGACCACACTGACCACAGAGCAGGAAGCATTTTGCACTTTGTTTCAGTTTAGGGTTTCCTAAAATTAAGATGACAGAATGTATACATGGGTAGGTGCCAGCCACCATGGTGCAGAACACAAACAGGAAGCTTCCAAACTGCAAAATATGAGAAAAGAAAAAAATACCTATTAGGTAGTAGGAAAAGTAGAGGATTAGGAATGACAGGAAGGACATCATGGCCCTGAAGTGGATGCCCCTGCTGCTATCTGTGGTCCCCACAGCAATGGTTCTTATATGCTGGGTATGTCTCACCAGTGAAAAAATCAAGAGCAGAAGAGCAATGAGGAAGATATTTAATGGAACTGTAAGATGAAAAAGCAAAAATGATAATGTCATAATGTCCATTCCTTTGGTTTGAGTTGCATTTTTGGAGAAAGAGTTGAAGAATTTTGGCGTAATAGTACATATATATTTACTGTGGATGACAGTACTGATAGATGCATACAGTAGAGACCCCAGGATCAGCCATGGCACCAACTTGGATAGCCTCCTCTTCAGCCAGAAGAACAGGGGGTGTGGGATGGTTGTGATCTTGGCACAGTAGAAAACACCAAGCCAGGTGGCCAACCAAAGGCCCCAAATATTTACAAACAGGAAAATTGCATAATTGTCCAAAAGTACCGAATGTTCCATGAAGGAGAGAAGAACCAGATGTGTAAGGAAGATGAGCACCTGCAGAAAAATCCTCGAAGTCACCAGGCAGGAAATAAGCAGATCCAAAGGAGCCATTTGTCTCTGCTTGATCAAGTCCACGACATTCACCACCACAATGAAGCCATTTGCGAAGACCCCAGTAAGCAGTTGTGTCACTGCTATAAGGAAATGGATAGCGAATTGAGGTGTTACCATGTTGGGAAGAGAAAAGTCAGTTATTTCTTTAACTAATGTATAGATTTTTGGACTTTTTCCAGTACTGATGCTCTCTGTTTTTCTGCAACTACAGCAGGGCCCATATGAAGAGTAGGATTCTAAGTACGAAGTCAATGAAGTAGGAAGGTGTTGTAATTTATGTATGTCACTGCTTTCTCAATTTATTCCTGAGATATTCAAATAAGGAAGTGATACTCTAGTGATAATTTGCTTCTTGTTGAGGGCTTTTGCATTTTCATAGTCTTCTTAGACTTCAGAGTCACCATAAGCAAATAGTGGAATTAGATACCTTCAGATGACTGCTGAAAGTCTTCTCAACTGGAGAACCAGCCAGAGCTCCTCAACCTTTATCCCTACCATGAGTAACTAGTTGTGCCACATGTGTGATTCTACTACATATTATCAAGGTATTCTTCAAAAAAACACTTTTTTAAAGAAAAATGGTCACTTCTGTTATCATGATATCCCATGGCCAGCATTAGACTCCTAGGTACTGCTTCTCTAATGTGCAATGTCTGAGCAATTCAGGACTTCCTAAAGTTTAATATAATTATATAATAATATGCAGGGTACAACACAGAGGATCACTAAATATAAAAGAAAGACAATAAATGTCACATGCACAGGTAGACACTGGATCAAAACCCCAATGTGAGGCCAAATGAGGGCCTTTATTTTGGGGAGATATTTAGAATTGCAATAGTCACTATTTTCATATTTAAATTGTTACAATACTCATATTTTTAAAGGTCACTGCATAGTGTAGCTTCAGAAGGGACCCCCGTAAAGGGCGAAAAGCCCCAGGTTCTTTTTAGAGGGTGGAAAATACAGGTTCAATGTGGCCGTGAGCAGCAAACAATTTTCAGGCAGCTTTGTGGTTTGAAGCTGACAGCCACTGGTTTCACAGTTGTGTTCATGTAAACTACCACCCTCCTTACCTTTCCCTTCAAGAAGGTACCCTCCCTGCTGCAAGATCCTCTGAAAATTCCCCTATAGCCCAAAAGACCTAACTCCTAGCCATTAGGCCAAAATCCAATCCATCCAGTGTTGACCTGTAAGGGGGTGGAAATGGAAACCCTACCCATAAAAGAGGGCCTCCACCTCAGATACAGTGATGTCTCAGCATTAAGGACCCCAATTCCAGTGCACACCCTACCGAGGTCACAAGACTCGTGGAACACACCAAACCAGCCCGCTGCAGACAGGCAGGTCTGCGCATGTCCTACCAAGGTCCCGAGTCACGTGGAACATGCCAAATCAGCCCATGCCCCAGCAACAATCCACTGGACACTCCCCCTGCTCCTCTGTAGAGCCACCTGGTTCCACACTACAAAGACGCACAGGACACCAGACCATCAGATCATGGTACTGAGTCCCGCTGTTCCTGGCCCAGAGGTAGGGGCTTCTGAGCCGTCTTCCCACTGCTCCTGGTCTAGACGAAGGGGCTTCCCAGGCACCATCCCTCCCACTGCTCCCAGCCCAGAGGAAAGGGCTTTTGGACCACCTTCTGTCCCGCTGCTCCTGGCCCAGAGGAAGGGGATTCCAGGCCACCATCCCTCCCACTGCTCCTGGCCCAGAAGTAGGGGCTTCTGAGCCACCATCCCACTGCTCCTGGACCAGAGGAAGGGGCTTCCAAGTCACCATCCCTCCCGTTGCTCCCAGCCCACAGGAAAGGGTTTTTGGGCCACAATCCCTACTGCTGCTCCCAGTCCCTGTCTGACCTCTCCCAGCTAAGAGGAGGTAATCCCTGCAGGCACCAACAGCCCCCAGCCCAGTTGAAATGAGAAAACACGTAAATAAGTCTCAAAACCAGACTTCCAGATCACCTACAGCAACCCCAAAGGGAAATGAGATGGAACACTCTGATA